GTGGAGGTCAGGCCAGGCCCAGCCCAGCCTGTGGGACTCAACAACTTCGGAGGCGTCAGTGAGAACCCTCCCACACTCCTCTCCTTGCCCGCCCACCCTGGTGGCCTGAGATGACCAAGTCCCCTCTCTGGACTCCAGGGCTTCTATGAGGAGGTGGCCAACCCACTGCTGACCGCAGTGGAGGTGGAATACCCTGAGAACGCTATCCTGGACCTGACCCGGAACACTTACCAGCACTTCTATGATGGCTCTGAGATCGTGGTGGCTGGGCGCCTGGTGGACGAGGAAATGAACAACTTTAAGGCGGATGTGAAGGGCCACGGGGTAAGCTGGGCTGGGCCTGGATATGGGCTGGGGATGGGGGATCAAGCACTGATGGAGCCTGACGGTCCAGCATGGCAGGGCCTGAACCGAACTGGCCCACCTGGCTTCAGGCCTCCATTCCTTGCGCCTCTCACCTTGTCCCATCCCTGCCCCAGGCGCTCACTGACCTGACCTTCACGGAGGAGGTGGACTTGAAGGAGATGGAGAAGGCCCTGCAGGAGCAGGACTACATTTTCGGGAGCTACATTGAGCGGCTCTGGGCCTACCTCACCATTGAGCAGCTGCTGGACAAACGGTGACCCAGGACCACCCCTCACAGAGCCGGGCCCCACACTGGGCCCTGGCACTGCCCCAGCCTCTCCCTGTGCCTGCCCCTGGCAGGCTCTGCTCTGCGGGTGCCCAAGAGGAAGATGACCTGGCCACACCCGGGAAGTGCACCCCAGGCACATGCCTGGCTGATCTGCCCTCTTTTCTCCCAAATCCATCAGAATGTTGTCCAGGGCAGAGCCCAGCCTGACATCCGTGGACAGCGATGGCGGGCGATGCCCTCAGTCCTCAGAGGGCAGAGCCAGGGCCCATTGGAGAGGCATGTCAGCTCCTTTTAGGAGGGACTAGCCTGTGAAGTCCCTGGTGCAGGGCCTGGTGCCTGCTGAGCACTCACCAGAAGGGGCTGTTGCAGTGGCCATTGTAAGCCTCTTATATGTTATAGCTGGGGAGACGGAGGCCCCTCAGAGAGGAAGCACAGCTGTCCATCTGTCCGAGGGAGCTGGTGAACCAGTATTTTCTGAGCTCTAGCAAGCTCCACCCTGGTCATAGGGGGTCCTGGGTTGCCACTGGGGCTCCTGGCCTGGTGCTGGGGGTCAATGTAGGGACGATAGGCAGGGAGCTGAGCTCCAGGCTGACCCTCTCGCCATGCCCCTCCCTACAGCAAGAACGCCCATGGAAGTGAGAAGGAGAACCTCACAGCCCAGGCCCTGGACCTGTCCCTCAAGTACCACTTTGTGACTCCACTGACCTCCATGGTGGTGACCAAGCCTGAGGACAGTGACAACCAGATGGCTATTGCTGACAAGCCTGGCGAAGGTGGACACGGGGAGTGAAGGCCAGAACTGGGAGGCCTTCCTCTAGGACCGGGGCCTTGGGGGTCCTGAGAGGAGTGGGCCAGGCTGGGAGACCCAGCCCCCC